GTAACTTTTCAAACAAGGGTACTGGGTCCCCTAACTTCCCGTACCCGTCATTACCCCAAATCCAAAGTCCTTAGGAATGTGGTAGGACTTTGAGATAGTTCCATCAAATATTAGCTTCAAAAGCCGAATAAGTCATTTTTTATGTGTTATGACAAATGCTTAAAAAAGCGGAAGCGTTAGGCGAAGCATTAGACCTTTTAAAGAAGCAAGGTGTAAGCTTTAAAGCGTGCGGTGTAATTTGTAAAAACTATGACTATATAATATATATGGTATAATAATTTACAAATATATACATTAGTAACATTACATTCATGTCCTCTATAGTAAATAAGAATAAGAATTAAATATGTGAAATATGCAAACTACACACATGCATGACATATGTATCTTAGTTACACTCAGATGGTCATATTGAAGGTACATATGATCATTTTAATATTAGCAAAAAGTTCTTTAATATACTCCTATCTTGTCTAAATTGTGACCCTCAAAAGAGAAGCACTTAATGAAGCATGAAACACACATCTCAGTTATGCTTTAAGTGGTGAGGCATAAGCTTCAAGGGATAAATAGTTTCTCTTGAGTTTCAAAATATTTACCCTTCAAAATGTTTGAAGCGAGTTTCAAAAAAACTTTTTCAAACATTGATTATGACTCATAGGAAATCTTGATAGTTGATATTCGTATTGGGAAAAAAAAGTGTGATGATTTCTAAACAAACATATAGGCATTCTGCTTATGATATCATACTTATGAACATCAATGTACCAAGGGACAACAAATTAAGCATGTTGGAGCTGTATGTGATTCAGTCTTGTATTTGACTGTCGTAAGTTGTCATGAATTTTGAGTTAATTTCCTTACAGTATGCATAACATAATAGTTCTGTTCCTTGTAGGTAGCAAAATGACTAGTAGTAACTTGTATGAGGAGAATTTTAATTCTTGTTGTTGAGCATTGTTTTGATCAACTGTCACTCTTTCATTGTGCCTCTTCTTCAGGTCAGACCGAGAATTTCTTTATCACATTCTTGAAGAAGTTATTAAAGCAGGAGCAACAACTGTCAATATTCCCGATACAGTTGGTTACACTCTTCCTTCTGAGTTTGGTCAGTTGATTGCTGATATAAAAGCTAACACACGTGGCATAGAGAATGCAATCATTTCAACACACTGCCAAAATGATCTTGGTCTTGCAACAGCTAACACGTTAGCAGTATGAGTTTAACTCTGCAAACTTGTAGATAACTTCTTCAATGAGATCTGCACTTTTATGTATGCTAACTTTCTGTGTAATTCAATTTCAGGGTGCTTATGCAGGGGCAAGGCAATTAGAAGTTACTGTCAATGGTATTGGTGAAAGAGCTGGAA